TTTTCCCTTGTCACTCAGAACTACCACTTCTGGGTGACAAGAGCCTGAAAAAATCTTCCGGTCTTTACCTTTTCCCATATAAAGACAAGGTCTTTTCATGGATGTGTGACAACAGGTAGCTTCATCCATCAGGTACTCTGCAAAGCCAATACTACTGCCCACACGGACTGAGGGAAAGGGCAGTTTATCAAGAAAGAAGCGCCTTGGGAGACTTTATTAGCTTAGGCTAAATTCTTCTGAGGTAACAGCCCCAAATACCAGTGGCTTCTAATGATGATGTTCCGCGTCCTTCCCAAGCTGGAGACTCAGGTGGATGGAAACACCTTTTCCGGGAACATTGTAGGCCTTGTGGCAGAAGTGACATGCCAGCACCCGCTCCCTTGTAAAGCTTTAGTTTACAAGCTGCACAGGTCACTTCTCCCCATTTTTCACTGGACACAGCAGGACATTTGACCACTCCCGAGTTCATATGGTGAGATATACAATCCTCTTGCGGGAAAGGATTAATTACCACATGCCAAAAACCAGGCTTGACATCAATGAGCAGGATGTGTGATCCTCCCATAAGAAGGGGTAGAGATTTTGAACAATGACGTGGTCTAGTTTTTCCACTTTCGGGGAACATCAGTATTACCCTGTGCTTTACCATCCTGCCCGCACCTCTTGTGGGGTCAGGGCCTCCCTTTGAGACCTAGAGCACTGCCGCCAGGGCCGTGAGCTTCCCTCAGTATCTGGGCTGATAAGGCAGAGTTGCTGATCCCAGTTGAGTATGGTGGGGGGGGGGGGGGGGGGGGGGGGGGGGGGAGGACAGACTTGGAGAATCCTGATGTGATTTCCTACCCAGGGTCCTTGGGTTCTCCAACAGCTCAGGGGCAGCATAAGTGATTCAGAGCTTCAGCGGCTGCCTGGGAATCCCTTCACCTGCCTGTAGCTCTCTCGGTGAGCAAATGAGTTCCACACAGTGAGAACATGCTGCCAGACATAGGCTATGGAGCCCACGAACATCACAGACACAGCAAGAAGCTATGAGGCATCAACAGTATCTTTAACATAATCTTATATTTGGAAAAGCAGTTAAAAAAAAAAACACTTGAAAATACAAGATAAGGTAACAGTGACTTATAGAAGTGTTCACCTTATATTGCTTGGCCATTTTTTACATATAAATTATTGCTTACTAGCTTCGATAAATACACAGCACAGTCCTATATACAGAAGCAGAAAGCGTGACATGGGAGAAAGAAAATACTGTTAATGGCAATTCTGGTAATTCCACAAATGTTTCATATTTACCAGCTCTTATAATGGTGGAAAACTACGAAGTGTAGTCCCTGAGAAGTTAGGTAGACACCCTGATTGTGGGTTTTCTATCTTCTAATTGTTAACGCAAGCTGACAATGTCACAGCAGTCCTAATTAATGATACATTAAAAGGCAAGAGTCCTTGCTTCAGGGCATCAATTTCATCCCAGTATTTAATAACCGTGTAATACGAATACAATAAATAGGCTATGCAAATAAATATTCCTCTGCTAAAAAACGTTTAGTATATACAGCTTTGCTTTATACAGTAGTACATTTTCATCTAAGTTTTTGGCAATTTTTAAAAACCTTTCTTCCCCCTACTACTTTTAAGCACAATGGCCCGCTCATTAATGAGCGGGCTGAAATTTTAAGGACATGTCTTTGAAGCATTTAAAAAGAACGCCGTGTTAGATAACTGCAGTGGACCTGATCTTCCCCCTTTTTAATGTTTCTGTCTAGTTTCTTGAGCAGCTTGGATCAGCTGTGCCATTTCAGAACACGAGGTTTGAGATCTGCGATGTGACAGCCATAACGAGCCAAAGGGGCTGGGGCTGGGGCAGCGGTGAAGCCCAGCTCCGGGCATCAGAAATCACCAACCCCCTCTTCCCTGCAACTGTCTCTCCCTACCCAGAGGCTAGCCTACAGGATGCAACTCCTTCTGCCTGCCAACTGGGACGGCCGTTATCCTCATTATTCTGAATTCAATGCACGCTCCACCCAACTTGCCTGTGGATATGGGTCTAGGGAAATGCATTAATCTAAACAGAATTAATGATACTAAAATAAAGTGAACGTGGGTCATAATACTTAGCACTGTAACCATTTGGCAATTGTACAGATGATAACAAAAAGTGAACTTAAAACACTGTAGCCTTTGGAGCATCTGGAAATATGTATGAAAAAAATTTTCAGGAAGGCTGCAGTTTTGCCCACAAAACTGGTCCTGTGCTACCTTGTAAGCAGGGCCGGTTTGCCGGGATGCAGACGAATCCATGAGCCCACAGGACTGCCTGAGGGTGGTGCCGTAGCAGAAAGGACCCACTGAGAAGTACTGGGGCACCACTTGCTGGGGAAGTTGGCAGATTAGAGATTTTCAGAGTGAATGGAGATTTTATGGAATTGCAACACTCTAAGAGCGGGAAAGGAGCTTCGACATCTTGGTCCACCCTTCTAGCCAGAACAAAATCTATTTCAAAGAGGCCTTGGCGAATGTTTGGAAAGGGAATCCCTATTCACAGGGAGCCTCACGGCCAGACGGCTCAGCTTTGTTCAGGAAAGTTTCATGCAGAGCTAAAGCCATTCCCAGTTCTGTCTTCAATTCTTGAGTTCCTGATTTACATCTTCACAGGGCTTCTGAAACTTTTGAGTTGCTGACGCTTGGGGAATCTCTGAAGATGGTTGTTAAATTTCACAAAGGTTTGGAGATTCTGACATTCGGGAGACAGGAATGAAAAAGCAAATGTAAACTAAACCAAACCCTCCCTTCCCTTTGCTGCCCTGAGAGCCACATGGCCATGGCTGGAGGAGACTGGGCGAGCCCCACATCGTCCCTGGCTTGTTTCTACCCACGACACGTGGACTACTGACTACACCATCAGAATGAGTTTAAACGTGATGTACGTGTGGATTCATTTGGTTGTGTACATATTTGGATTGGGATCTAAGCAGCGGGTGCTATGTTGAAATAGTTCTCCACTGAAAATTAGTCCTCGAGAGGTCATGTTCTGGTTGGAGTAATGGAGATCTCCTGTGAACAGACACTTAAATTGTAAAACGTGGAGACAATGTCAAAATGGCCTTACATGATTAGACTGACCAAATGATCCTCCCCAGCACAGACAAAAGGTGAGAACATGGGCTTGTGCTGTACGCCCATGCTGTCCCCAATAATTGCCAAGGGGAGAGCTTCTCCAGTGTTTGATCAGCCATGAGACGAACCGGTTTTTCCTAGTCCTGATGGCTCTGGTCTCCTCCAGTGGGTCTCTGTCCATTCCCAGTAGCCTGGAGCTTTTCTTTGAGTGGACCATCCCCGGATGGTCCCTTTCTGTAAAACTCTGTTAGTTTTCAGGATTGAAGTTTACACGTGCTGGGACAGACCAAATCTCTTTGAAAGTCCTACCCAAAATTTCCTCCACATGGTACCTTCCAGCACTCTCTCAAGCTCTGTGTCGTTCGCGAGCTCAGGAAACAGCACTGCTAACAGGGTATCAGAAAGCATTGGATACCCACAGTAATAAGGTGTTAATGGGCCAGAAGGAAGCAGTTCTGTGCAGACACCCGAGAGATGAACAGGCAGGAGAGAACTCACAGTGTAGAAGATGAATGGACTGAATTCATGAAGGAGGGCCCTTGTATTTCAGCAATGCCCACAGGCTTTTTTTGTTCATTTTAAGCTCAGGGGAAATTCTCTAACCAGTTATTGAGAATAGCATGAGGTTTTCTCTACTGTAGGAGCCCCCGTCTCTAAAAATGGGAATAAAAAGTAGACTCGAAGACTCTGAGACTCTGGGGGAAAAAAGACAAATTACAGAAGAGCTCTGGGCCTTGATTAGGAGTGGACTGCAGGACTTTGAAGTGTCCAACATAATCAGACATTTGGGTATTTTGGGGGTTCTTGGCATTTGCTGAGAGATAGGCAGTCACTACTAAATACCTTGCTCTTCTCTAGGGAGTGCTAAGTGCTTCACACACCAAATCCCATTTCACCTCCCTGTGTTGGCTGTTACCGTTCTCTGCTGTGGGCAAAGGAGCCTGCTGGAGGATGCCAAACACTAGGGCATCGCCAGGCACAAGAATGTAGACCTCTGGGACTCTGTTCCCTTGATAAACAGTTACTGAGTGCCTATAATCTATCAGGCGCTGTGCTTTTTCAAAAATCGTATTGTTCCCGTAAGAAATGCGAATCTTCTTGCACACGTAAAGAAAATCTCCAGAAACTGAGCAACGAGTCCACTTCTTAAAGATTACTATTTTCCTTACTGGTAAAGCAATGTACTCTAACTGGCCTATAGTTGCAAATCGGTTGTGCAGAAACGAATTTCACCTGCAAGCCTACATTGATAAGTGATTGTGGATGCAAAGAAATGCATGCCTTGACATTTCCCTTTTGGAAATCAGAGCATGGATGCCAGCTGCGGTCCTAATTTCCTAGACACAAGTGGCTTTTGGTGATGTCACAGTTTGTACTGACAGCGGCCACTCCTTCTCCCTGGAAATCTAGAGATGCCATCACTGTCTTTAGGTGTTCAGATGAGCTGCTTCTTTGACAGCCTATAAACAGTAATCTGTCACCAGGCAACATAAAACTCCTGTTTCGCGCACACTCGTACTGAAATATTGGGTCACTGTAGGACAAGACACGCTCTCGTCTTGACGCGGGCACATCTCAAGTTGAAAACTGGGTTGGATCAACAATGCAGTCATAAGAAACCAGACTTCTCCATTTCAAGAATGCTTCTGACGCTTTCTTTGCCTTCTCATTCTGAGAGCAGCTAGGAGAGGCCTCTCCCCATGTCTGGTGGCTGACATCAACTTCCTGAACACGCTTTGCTGGGCTTTCCGGTGGGTGTCTTAGGATATACTGATAAAACTCAGCAACTTCTTTTCTCACAGGAAAGCGACGTGCTCAGCACTGACATTCCCATAGCTCAAAGTGCTGCAAGTTACAGGGGAGGCGAGGCGGTGGGCTGCTGGGGCTCACACCCGAGGCTCGATCCTGTGTGACAACTCAAACAGGGCCTGCTGGCTGTCAATGACATACAGGTGGTTAACGTAGGATTTTAACTCTTGGTGTTCCTTTGGAGAGATGTCACCTCCTGGTTTTTGGAAGAAAAAAGTCTCATGAGAGCAGAAATGCTATTTCTTTCTCTCTTTTTTTTAAGTATACAATTTTTTTCAGGCATAGAATTTAGTGATTCGTCACTTATGTATAAGACCCAGTGCTCATCCCAACCAGCGTCCTCCCTAATGCCGTTCGCCCCTTTAGCCCTTCCCCCCGCCCCCAACATCCCACCAGCCACCCTCAGTTTGTTCTCTGTATTTAAGAGTCTTTTATGGTTTGTTTCCCTCTCCGTTTCTATCTTATTTGTGCAGAAGTGCTATTTCTGAATACCAGTGACATCTCTCATTAAGGCTTAGAGTAAATCTAGCAGGGGGATTCTTATTAGTCAGCATCCCAGAGAGGGGATCTTTATCCTAACAGCTGGAGATACTTCTCCAGCTCAGACCAGGGCCTCAGGTCAGGTCATTAGACTACAAAGGTATTTGTTTTATTAACATTTATATAACTTTATTACCTAATATTATCTAGTATTTAGTGACTGTGTTAGTATCCCCCCACTACAGAGTGGGAAACAGCACAGACACACAGCAAGGGAGTGGCAGAACAGGTCGGCAGCCAGACTATGTGATTCCTGAGTCCATGTCTGAGGTCCCATGTCACAGCAACTGCCATTTAAATAGCTTTCACTGGCTCTTATATCTCAGTCTGGAATTGTCAGAAACCACTGCTAATCTGGTCAGTGCACAGACAAAATGGTTTGTTTTTAGAATTTGTATAATTCTTTGGTGTCCTTAGTTTTTGAAAAAGTAAAAAAATTAAGGAAGCATTTGAATGAACAGATATCACAGAACTGAACTTAAGGTATACTTAACAGGCAAACAAGTTCCAGAAGCATGTGGCTGGGCTAACATCTACCCAGCAAAGGACAAGGCAAGGTGGTTTTCCACTCCCAAATCCAGGGTGGTTACAAAACTGAAGGGCCACATGAAGCTTTTAGTGCCCTGTGAACACATATGTGCCATGCTGGTGACAAGTCTGATAAGGAGCCTGATAAAGTAGCCTGGACAATGGGGCAAGCCCACTTCCCATAGGCAAAAACAAACACAATCCAAAAAAAAAAA